ATCAGTAACACAAATGGTTGAAATAAAAGTCAATGGTGTCATCAGAATCATTTTGCAAAATGATTATAAGTTTATTAATAGTTTTATTACAAATTTTTTGCATACAATCTTTTTGAAAATTTGTTATAAAATATAAAAATAAAACAAAACTGACAAATTTCATGACATGGAAAAGACGTTAATGTAGCTCAATTAGACAAAAATCAAAACTTTGCTAGAATTGTACCACTATAACTGTTGCCGCAGAAGTCAATGCACATGGTTATTTCGTTTTCCAAGTTACATGAAGCTATCAGAACAGCGGTCACGGGATAAATTAACCATATCAGATTTGAATTGCTTGAGATTTTTGAAAGACAGGGACAATCATTTTTTTAAATTATGATTCTCGGTCGGAAAATTTTTTGAAAAAGGAAACAGAAAATAGTGCTGTTGTTTTTAATTAGATTCTTAGATCTTGATCAATATTAGTTAACAAGGGTAACAAACTGAGATTATGCATTGCAAAAACAAATCAGTCTCACTACTGACTTGATGAGCCTAAAAATAGGATCTTGCAGTCCTAAAACGTCCTTTCAATCAAAAGAATTGTCAACAATTATATGGTGGCCCTGAAAAAGCCTCTGAAAAATTAGAGAGTCTAAGCACGAAGCTAAAATCAGTACTTGTTTTGTATTTTTTTCCGAGTTAAATTATCAATCGTATTATTGAATGGAACTTTTCTTCATGATCCATCTAACTAACAACCCACTTATTTGTAAGTGCTGAAATTACTTGTAGATTCAGCACCAAAGAGATTTGAACTCAACTTAGAACTTAGTTGCCTCTCCGAGAGACCTACTCGCAATCAACCAGTATATCCTAGATCTATTGAGACTAAAAGGACTAAAAGAGACTAGCAGATATAAGAGTAAGATTAAGACCGGTATTAGACTAAGAAGTTGCACGAATCTATCCGGCCGGAAATAAGATAGCGTGACGAGCAGACGGTGTACCCTATCTGAAATTACTCTTTGAGTTAACCGAAGAACCAAACTCACAACCAAGATTACCAATGACGGAAATTAAAACTTTCAACAACAGCTATTTTTGAAGCTTAAACCAAAAAACTCAGCAAAATGCTTTTCGACAAAAATGTTTCCTCGAGATTGCTCTAAATTCAACATTCAGAAAAATTTTGAAACTGTTTTCAATCTGAAAGTTGTGCTTTAGTGGTTAGTTTTGAGAAGTGTTTCTTGAGTGGGTCAACCTTGAAGTGACTTGGAGGGTCAGCTCTGATTAAATGATTTTCTTCAGCATGAGAATTTGCTGAAAATGAACGTTGTATATAGGTCAATCTTTTTTTTAGAAGCCAAAATTTAATTCCCATATCAAAAGAAATTGGTTTCGAATGATGCAAAGAAAAGTTTTTGTTTTCGGTTTTTGAGCTTGAATGACACTTCCTAGGGTCTGAATTTTCTTGGTTGCACGTGGATTTCAATGCGAATAAGTTGAAAGATAGATGTCAAATGTCAAATTGGCAGATAAAGCTCGACCTCATTTTGCAGTTTAATTTATCAAGAAGAAGTGGTGTGATGGTTCCTAATCATGAAGCTTCCAAGCGCTAGTAATGTGTCGTATAACAGGGGGCTAAAGCGGTCGTCTATGGTTATCGGCAAGGCTGATGTGGGCTGAGGCTCGCCTTTTTTTGCATTGAATTTTCGTTATCTGATTCAATGCAATAGTCTAGACTTACATATTTTAGTAGAATTGCTGTTTTGACAAAATTTTCTCTCCAAAATGATTCGCTACTGTTGAGGTTTTTTTGACTGACTGTTTAGGGCTATTGGGATTGAAAAGAAGGCATGCTGGCATTCGCTATCCCGAGGAGAAATTGATTTGAATCCTGAGCGTCTGTTTCTGCTTTAAACCGGTGACCTATAACTGTGTTGTAGTCATGTTCTGGTTGCTGAAGCTGTAGCCGGTTGATCGTTGCAACCAAATCAAAACTTGTCTGAGGAACCTGTTGCTGAGCATCTTGGTTTTCTCAAGAGTTTTGGCCATCTATTCTCTGCAATGCTGAACTCCGGGCTGTTCTCGGACACTGTTGATATTTTACTAGAATCCTGATCCGGTATTGGCTGTTTTTGCGCTATATTAGGTATTTGGAGGATTCGAGGTGTAGTCAATATAACATCAGTATTCTGCTGTTGAGGCGTTGTCTGTTAGTTTTTTGTAGCAATTGTCTGAAGTCATTCATCCAAAAGCCTGGTAGTAGAAACTTTGACAGTTTGATTTTTTTTTCGAAGCAGATGCAAACTTAACGCCTTTTTACCAAATTTGAGTTCTTGCTGATACAAAATCTAAAATTGTTTTTATTCCGATCATTTGAAAATTGGGGAGTAACTGTATCCAGGTGTTTTTTTTTAAGTTTTTTTCTTTTTGTTTGTTAACCACGAATACGCTCACAAATAATCATCCAAAAAAGTTGAATGACTACAATTTTTAAACCCATAACAGTCATGATTCGAAAAACATTACACAATTTCAAAAAAAACTTCCCAGAATTGAGGAAACCGGTTTAAAAGTTATGATATTTTGTCTTAACTCGAGCGAAAAAAGAGAGCGAATAAGCCCACACTAGCTTTTTTGATTGGATAAAACGCTTACAAAATCTTGTTTTAAAACGTTAAACTTTAGTCTTAATCAAGTAAAGTTTGTTTTTTGAGTATTTTTGCCCATTTCTGAAAAAAAATGCAAAAAAAAACATAAACAATTCGTGATGTGAAACTTATATTTGGAATTTTTGTTTACCAAAATATTTTTCTGCAACGTTTTTTAATTAATATTCAACTATGACTGTCGAATATGCCTTATTTTTATATTTTTGTTCAGTTCCTTTTATCACACCACGCGTAAAAAAGGACACTAATTTGAAAAATCTTTCTTCCATTAATTTTTGTACCCGGCTTTGCTTATTTTTGTTTTATTTTTGCTCACAACAACTGCTCAATGAAAGTCCATTCACTAAATTTGAAGACGAAACTGCATTGATGCCAGCTAGGTCATAGGGTAAAGCTTAAGGTGGATTTTTGGCGCCTTAGGTGAGTTCCAAGTAGAAAACGAACCGTGCAAAAGGGTAGCTCTTGTGTTTTCTCTTTCAGGTTGATGAGTATTTGAATTGTTTGATAGCACGTGGATTTCAATAAATTTACTTTTTCTTGAGTTTTACACTGATTTGATTTAGTTTTAATTATTTGTCACGAGTTTCGTGATTACTTTCAAAATGTTGAAGGCGTTTAAGATGGGTGCTAGTTGTCAATTACGCAGATATTAACCTAAACCCAGCCATGCAAATTAATTTTCCTTGTGATAATTATGATAGCTCTCATTCTGATAATTATTTAAACTTAAGTTTTATTATTTGTTTTTTTAAATTATAACTGAAAAATCTAGGTTTCTTTTACAAAGTTTTTATCGAAGAAAATTGTTTGTTTTTTTTTCTCTGGAGAAACCGATTGATGATAAAAATTTCTAGCTGTCAATCACATGGTTTGATGGAGGTTTTAATAGGCTGTAAGGTTTAAAACAAAATCTTCAGTACATCGATGAGCTCCTCAGTTTTTGAGATGAAATTTGAACTGACCTCTTTAAAATTTCAGTTTGGTTTTCGTTTTCAACAATTTATACTTGTTTAAAGTACCTGATACCTAAAAAGATGAAATATAAAAAAAATTCTTTTCCTTAAACAAAACGCTTAACAATTATTCTGATCATAGCTGTAGTTTTTCGGAAATTTTTGGTATTTCGGTAGTTTTTTCATATCTGCTTTATATGAATTTACTTGAAAAGTTAGTCTCATTAACTTTTGCTGAAGTTCCCTGTCCTGGCATGAAACCTATAGGTCTTTTTCAAACAATTAAGAAGAAATTTTCAAGCATTACTCAATTTTTCTCGGAAACTGAAGTTCTCATTTTTTGTTTCTTTTTTACTGAATTTAATATTTTCATTATGAGTTATTTTCCATTAGAAAGAAATGCTAGCAACCTGACTTTTCATCTAGAAAAAAAGAAAAATACTCAACAAAAATCGCGCATTGATACTTCCAATATTGTGTATAAAGTTTTTACTGTTGGATGAACAATCAGTTTTTTTGCCCAATAGAAACTTGGGCTTCGAATAAAAAAATACCATTCTTCTTCTAACACTAATCAAACTATATTACTACCAATTTTGCTTTCCGGAGTTAACTTTGCAAAAAAAAAACGTTATTTTGTTACTGTTTAGGAACATATATAAATATAGTCCAAACATATCGTCAATGCTTTTTTCAGCGTAACTCAACCCCAAAATACTTAAAGTTGGTTCTCTGGTAACCCTTTTGGTTCTCTGGTAACAGTCAAAAATAAACAAAATTACCACAAAAAAAAGCGATTCCTATCACAATCAATAAGTCATACCTTTAATCGCTTATATTATTAATTTTGAAAAGTCTTACTGAAAAAGTCATGTTTCATCTGCGGGCGTTCTACTCAAAACTAGCAAATACATTGACGCAAAGACACTTTAGGTAAAGTAACAAAAAGTGAACATCTGGGTCGGCTAGGTTTGAATACCCGTTACCCCTAAATTCGCTACTTGTTTGGACTTCAAAAACAAATTTCAAAACAACACTCTACTTAGAAAAAGTAACTTAAACTTTTATTATTTCAGAAAAATCACTTTGAAAAACAATAAAAACAGTTCTTAGAAGAAAAAAAACGTATGAAATTAGCATGATTGGAACTCAAAAAAAATGAAAACTGGGGCTGGGGTGGCTCTAAGGTTTTCACTACTTAGGCTGAAAAGACTACAATGTGAAAGACCACAAATCAATCCCAATTTTAGTCTCTTTCAGCCTCGATGCTGCTTCGATTAAGCTGAACTTCGGAAAAAAAAGATCCGTGGTCCTGCTTGTGAGTGGTATGAATTAATGCCGCAATTAAAAAATTTATCTCAATCACCTGAAATCACAGAGAAAATGCGATAAATTATTGTTTAATTCAATTCACTGAAGCTTTCAAGTCTATAACCGAAACCCACGGAAGAGGTTTTAAACCAATTTTCTTTCAGTTAGTATTTTTTCTGATCTGCACGTCTCAAGTGTATTCCAAGTGGTTTTTTATTTTTGTTGGGAGTTAACTCTCTGGTTGAGCTGATTGACAAAATCCCTGGCCTCTTCTGGGGTGGAAAACATTTGACTCAGTTCTTCTGGGTGATTAGTCGCCAAGTTTTGAAACTCTTCCAAACTCATGTTCTCAAGATCTGAAATCAAAAAAAAAAATAACTTTAGAAAAAGTCTCTAAATAGATTTAAAATTGTACGAAGTTAAAAAAAATAGTCCTGAAATAACATTGAACTCTCAGTAATAAGAATAGTAAAAAAAGTGTATTTGGAGGTTAACTCTCATAAACTTTGGTCATAAAACCAAAATATTTAGACCTCGTTAGAAATATTTTGTTCTCCTTACTAACATTTTTCTGTTTATTTATTTATTTTTCATAATCTTAACCAGTGGGGCTTTTTGATGCTCTCACATTTGACCCACAACGGAGTTTACTTTGAGTTGGTCAAAATTGGCTGCAAAAAGAAATCGGAACCTTCGCCAAAATCGTCATTCAGTGCTAACATAATTGCGAGATGTCTTTTTTCATTAATTGAATGAAGTTGTCATTGGGCTCTTGTATTTTTAAGGATTGACATGAGACTGAAACCAATGCTATTCAGAGTTTTTTTTGCGATGTCGCGGAATCAGCACAACTTTCCGTATCAGATTTTATGTAACTTGATTGGATTTTCGGGAATAATTTCACAATGAGTTTGTCACTTTGGTTTGAAAGCTAGACTTAAGTATATACGTTTGGTTTTGACACCAATGGTCAGATGAGAGTCAGACAGCTCTTGATATGAAAACTCCTGGTTTTTTGGTGTTTTTCCTGGTCGGAACTCTTTTTTACTGTTTTGAATCGTTGTATAAATAATAATTGAGGCTGTTCTCTTCTTGAAAACGAAATTATCTCTTAATTAGTATTGTGATGAATTTTACTAACCTGCCGATCGTATAGCTCTACTCGATTCATCCTGGCACCAATAACAAGCGAAGGTAATCAGAAGAACAGTCAGGGCACTTGTTCGAAACATTTTGTCACTAAGTTACCTGAACGCAAACATATCTGATTGACTTGTTGTTACAAAATTAATGATTCTGTTTTGCGTCAAAATTTAAAGGGCCAATTGATTCCGAGGACTGAGTTTTATTTATAGAAAAACTCCCACATCTTTATTTGTTGTTTAAAACGTTGAGTAAATTTTATTTCAGTTTTCCCTTATTACCTCTTTGATTATTTAAACATCATTAAAATATAAAACGATTATTGAACTCAACAGTTGTATATCTGATATTTTTTCATATTGAGACTTGGACGTTCAAAGTTTCAACTGTTCGTTGAAAAAAAAATTCAAAAACACCTTAACTAAAAGGTTTCAACTCACCTTTCTTACTTAACTTTTTTTTTCAGATATTTAGTTTACTTATCTCAGAAGATATTGATATCGGTTGCGAGAAAATGAATTTCTTCAGTCAATTATAATAAAATAATTTAATATAAAAGCTTCTTTATACTTAGAAGCAGATGATAAAAATGGGAAGAAAATAATTGAAAGGGAGGGAGAAAACGATTCAACGAGCAATTTGTAATTACTTTTTCGTTTAATTATACCATATGCTCTTCGTTTTCAGTTGGTTGAACTTTTTGATAACAAACTCGTGAACAATTCACATCTGGAGTGCAAGGAATCGACATCAATTCGTACTTTGTTAAAGTAAGATTGAACGACAATATTAGATGTGAAAAATTTCCTTAAATTTCAGCAAACTTTCAAACTTCGTTTAATGTTTCGACAAAAGTTTGTTCTAAGCAACAAATCTTTGATCTCAAATTTAGTTTACTGTCATGGAAATAAAACAAAAATTAAAAAATGAGGAAAAACCTGCCATCAGATATATTAGTGATCTCTTATAACTGTCATCGAACTTTTATTCGGCTTGAGAAATTCTGAAGGAAATCTTGTTTTTCTGACAAAATATAACGTTTTTCCGAAAACGAAAGTCTTTAAAGATGAGTGCTCAGCATTTGTTAAGGCATAAAATCTTTGAAACTAACTTCTAAATTTTGCTTTCAAAGTTTTAAAAGCAATCAACCGAAAAAATTGACTGTTGAAATGAATTATCTCTTTGATAATTTACACGTCCTGACAAGTCAGAATTTAAAAAAATCTGAACGTCGTTGTTCTGAATGCAAACCAATTAGGTTGTTTCTTGTAGTCTGTTTAGTTCAGAGACAAAGAGAATTTAAAAAAACTTGAGATAAAAATCGAGCCTTCAACTGTGATTTAGTTTGCAAAGAGATGGTAGTATTAAAGTCGTAAGTTTGGAAATTCAAAAAGGTTGTTAATAAGTTGTATTGTAGACAATTTGTTAGGCATCAAATCGAAATATCACTGCACTCTCTTATTTCAGATCGCATCGGACATTAGAGATTGCAAGGTCAAAGCCACCAGGTCCCCAGACAGAAAGAAGAATTGATAGCACTTACATAAACTCAAACTGGTGGCTATATAAAAGAATTGATAGTACTTAGATAAACTCAAAACTGGTCCCTATCTTATTCGGGCATCCACAAATAAATTTTAGAGCGTAGATATAAAATTTATCGACTCTTTGTTACGATTTGGTAGTGTATAAAGTACTAGTTAAGTTTTAGTTTATGTTGAGTTTTCTCACCCGCCAAACCTCTCTTAAGGTTTATTTTTCTCCTTTTTTTCCTTTTCTTTTTTTTGCTCTTCGTGTCGGTTTTCTCACTTGTGTTCTATTCGGTGGATCATAACCCCCCATTTTGTCAACTCCGCGTCTCTGTCGTGTTGATTTCCTCGTTGCTGGTTCACACTGGCTTTTTTTTGGTTTTTCTTTCGTTTTCCACCGACGGATCTTGGTGATTTTTCCCTAACCGACGGTACATCATCTTCTTGGTTCGCCGCACCTTTCATCGTTTCACTTCGCTCGATTTCCCACTCGCTATCATCGTCGTCCTCGCTCTCGTCCGCACTATACTCTTCTATCCTTTGTTTCGTCAATCTTCTTGCGTTGTCCTTTGCAATACGACCCTTCTCGGCTTTGCGCTTATACCTGCTGGATTCGCTTGGGGCCGGGGTACTAGGTACAATTTTACTCGGTCCTGGGGTGCACTCATCCCTTCTACTCTCGATTAGGCTTTCATCAGCCGCCGATCTAAAAGACACACCACTCCACCTTAGTAATGACCCTTTTTCCATTTGCACCATATGTTTAGTCAATTTTTCAATTTTTAATGGCAAACGTTTATACCTTCTTGGGTCCTTGGGATCCGTCTTCCCGGTCCTTTGGTATACGGTCGTTGAACTTGTTTTGTGCTTTTTAAGCCAAGTTTGGGTTTTTGGTGGACTTATTTCCTTGGGGTCAACTTCTTCCGGAGCCCTGGGATCCGCTACCACATCGTCATCCAAAATGATTGGAGCTTTCCTGTTTTAAGGGGCATACACCAAATCACTTCTCTTCTCCCAATCTAGGGTGAGTTCAACTTCCGGGAGGTTTCCCGCCTTGTCTAAACAAGATAAATTTTGGTTAACAACATTGTTCCATGTTAAGTTTTTCAATGACGGCTTTTTTGTTAAGTTTCGCAGAGCCGTATTTGCTTCTCGTCCATGGTATGCTTCAAAAGGCGTTAATTTAGTTTTAGAATGTGGCACAAACTGTAACGCGCTAAGCGCCCGGGATATCATTTCTCCAAACTTTTAGTTTTTATTTTCCTGAAGGTAAGTTAACACGTAGTTTTTTATCGACCCAATAGTTCGTTCAACCATTCCTGTCGCGTGATGATCCTTAACCGGAGATTTAATAAGTTCGATACCTTCGTAGTTACAGAAACTTTGAATTTCATTAGAGAAAAGCCCCGTAGCCTGATCCATGTTCAATTTCCTTGGGTGTCCATGGGTATTTATGTACTTCCTTAGGAACTTCAATACATTTTTTGATTTGTTGCTTGAACAAACATTCGCCGACGGCCAATGCGAGAATGTATCTACTGCTACAAGCATATACTTTTTCCGACCCCTTACATAATTATTGGGCCCCAGAAATCTAATTGGACCAAATCATTGGGTTCCTTAGGAACATACGTTTCCCCCATGTCACTTTTCGGAAAGCCCGGTTCAAGGTTTTTACCTGCTTCTAAACAGCTTTTGCAGTATTTTGCCGTAGCCGCGATGTTCCGTTGCATAAGGTGAATCCATACGTCGTTTGCGGCAGCAAACATTTTGTCCCGCCCGTGATGATTATAGTGTAGACGAATCAGAATTGCTGATGATAGATCCTTCGGTTTTGATAACCGGTCGTCCATCCACAGGCAATTCTCACGTACTGCGAAATCGTTTTAGTGTTGGGCGTAGTATTGTTCTAGTCTTGTTCTAATCTCCTTTGCTCGTGGGTTTTTGTCCCTGATGTTATCTCTGATAGTCTTCATAAATGGATCTTTTTCAATGTTTGCTTCAATCAATTTTAAATTCAAAACTTCCGGGTGTTCAATTTTCTTCACTATTCTGCTATTCGATGGCACTATAGAGTAGATCCATTTGTCGGTTTGTACGTGTGGGTACGATAACCCGGGAAACTGGTGTGGAAAAGATATGATCGTATTTAGTTTTTTAGAATTAGTCTGTTTAATATCAAGTTTTTCGGGTGGTATCATTTCAATATCGGAATCCGAACTAACGCTATGAGGTTGATTCATGCGATTCATTACAACGTTTAGATTCACATTTTCCGAATTAGTTGATGTGTTAACGATGGCCGAAGTTGGGGGATCACTTTTTCAGGCGACTTACTCATTTTTGTATATTTTGGGTTACTCCAATTATTCCCAATTAGTATTTTGCTACTGTAACTTTTTAAGGTAATTGGCTTTTCAGTGTAATCTCTGCTACTGTAATTTTTCAAAGTAGGTGGCTTGTTGTTGTAATTAGTAGAACTGGAAGGATTGCGATCGTTTATAATCAAGTTTTTATTCTTGCAACTGTAATTTAAGCAATGAGAACAAAGTCTGAATCTCGTTCTTCGGTATTTGCATTTTTCCCGTATGCAAATATCTCGACGCTGATTGGTTAACCGCCGGTTGCATGTGAGCACGCCCTCTATTGAGCGTTTGTGCTCACGGTGAATATTTGCATATTCGTCTTTTCTTTCATTCTCATTGGATGAAACTGGATCGTTGTTTCGAAACATGACTGTTTGCCCTCTACCGTTGGTTTTCGCTTAATGTTATTCACTTGCCCACCCCTAGGCTTCATTTTATCCTTCGGCTTCAACGCCGCGTTTATCATTCTTATCTTTGCTTCTGTAAAATTCTCATCGTAATGACTTGTCTCGTGTGCCTCTGCGGACGAAAACCGAGACAAATAGTCAGCCATCCCCATTTTCGACCCTTGTCTATGTTCAACTTTAAAGACGTATGGCACCAGTCGATCATACCATCGAGTTAATCGACTGAAAAATGTTTTATTTCCTTTTGGCGACGAATTCAACAATGTAAGTAGCGCTTTATGGTCACAAATGACTGTGAAATACCGGCCGTATATATGATTTCGAAAGTGTTCCGTGGCCCACACTACCGCAAGTAATTCTACATCGTTTATGGAGTATTTTTTCTCAGCTGGATTAAGGTAACGGGATGCAAATGAGATGGGATGCCACTTGGATGCGCCATACTGTTCTAACACGGCCCCTAAGCCATTGTGACTAGCGTCACAAATAATTCTGGTTTCACGGTGCATGTCGAAGTGTCGTAATTTGACAATATTTTTCACCAGCGAGTTTAAATGTTGGAATGCTTTTTCGCAAACGGTTGTCCAAACAAAATCGTGATTTTGACTCAGTAGTGGCCTTAACGGTGCGGTTTATTCTGCGAGATTGGGTAAAAACTTGTGTAAACTGTGTGGTGAACCCTTTAAAGATTTCAACTGCTGTCGAGTTTTGGTTTTCAGGTCTTCAATTGCTTGTTTTTTTCTTACTAAGTGTGGCCGCTCTAATCTCCAAACGAAAATAATTGAATCCAAATTCGTAAATTAATAAGAGATATTTATCGGTAAAAAACTCAGGCAATAGATAAATTTCGGTATTTTTCTTTTGATCAGGACATCATACAACATTTTTAGCATATGTTCGTTTTTGGTACAAATCAGCGCAAGCTAGCCACAAGAACCGGTCGGTAATGTCCTTGAGACAAATTGCTCTTTTTGGCGGGCAACCTTAATCAAGGCTGAACCGAATTAGAACCAAAAAACAGTTAAAATAGGATGTAACCCCCATTTTTAGTATATTAATACATGGGCAGGTGGGTGACTCGAACCTACGTCAACTGTTATTTCACACATATAATCGGCGTTAGCTTACTTTGTCTTAGTCCGCTTGGCCAACTGTGCTTATTTTATATGCATCTATACTCTTGTTTTATTCTACATTTGCATTGCAACATCCTCCCCCCCCCTGGAGAAGGAAGAACCGGAG